GATTTCTAACTGCCAACTGCCTCTTTGTTTGTGTGTGGGGGTGGGGAGCTGCTAAAAGCTGTGAACTTCCTTTTGTGTTGAGGTGGATGCAATTGTCATCTTGTGGGGGTTTACTAGCAAGAGAGTTGGCTAACTCTCATATGGCTGGGAAGAAGGCAAGAAAAGAACAGTTGCTTTGGACACAACCCTCCACACCTAGCCCTGGAAAAAGAGCCATGTGTCAGGTCAAACACAAATGCAAGAACAATCATGCCACTGTGCCATGTGTTCACTGCTACAGATACACATGTGGTAAATGCAGACTACAGATACTATCCTGGCACTGCCATGGTGAGTGATTGCTGAAAATGTACTCACTCACTTTTTATTATTATTTGTAAATATGTGTACAAATGGTTGTTTGTTTGTTTGTTTTGTACTGTTTTTAATCAATAAATCTCAGCAACAAAGGAAATACTCCCATGTGTGTTGATTTCTCCCCAAGATGGCAAACTGAAACAAGTTTCCTTGTGGCCCAGGAAACTAACCACTCCAAGTGGCTCAGCATGGCCCCACCTTATTTACATAACAAAAGCAACAGTTCACAGGTGATTAAGGATATTAGCTAAAAGCCTACCAGCCATTTGGCTGGAAGGCGGGTTTTAAAGGTAGAAAAGCCAAATGGCTGCTCTCTGGGACTCTAGGTATTAAAATATTTTGACATTTTTTGCTGTAAACTGAAATGTAGTCAAATTATTGGGCATTTCCCCCTCACTTTTCCACTCTTTTCTAATGTAGCCTTGAAGAAAATTTCAGTTGTGACAAAATATATTTTATTGTTAAACATAAAGAAACAAAATCAAGATAAGCACATGAATACAATGGGCCAATGGCCATATGTCTTTATTCCTATAAAAACTGTGTAGTGATATCTATACAAATGACCAAAAACTAAGGTTACAATAACAACCAAAAACAGTAGCAGAATGACATTTGGCTGTTAAAACAGTTAACACAAGTAGACTTGATCCACTTCATTCATAATTAAACAAAAGTGAGCGAATAAAAGAACAAAAGCCATAAATAAAAGTAACTGCGCTTTAGTTTATTTCACAGATATTTGATTCCACTCTTTATTTTAGGAAAGCTACGTCAGGAATCTTTCCTTCAGCCTGGAAAGAGAAAACAAAAGGAGATATTTCAAAGCCATGGCCTCACAATAGTGTTTCTATGTTGATTTATAGACAGAGCAATTATTATTATTATTATACAATTTAAGTTACCTTCAACTGAGTAAAGATCTGCGCTGCTCTGTTGAAGTCCCATTCATTGTCTTGTAGACACCTGTTAAAGATGTATGTTTAGATGTTTAAATACAGGATCATACACAAGACCACAAAAAGATATGTGCAGGAAACAAAACGTACTTCTGTGACCACTCCAGGTTCATGCCAGACTTCTGTGAGAAAGCTGTGAGCATCTCTTGCTGCTGTGCAGTGAGGGTGGGGACAGGGCTGGAAGATGGAGTCGGGGCAGGAGCCACGAAGGCTCGGCGGATCTCCTCTGTTGTGGCCATTCGAATGAAAAGCTGGTCGTTGACAATGCACAACCTGTCACAAAAGAACCACACAGAAAACATAAGGATATCTGGTTGTTTCTGTTATACACAGGAGAAGCTAAATGTCCTTTTTGTTTGTTGGTACAATTTCTCATTAGGTTCATCTGCAATACAGTCTGCTGTCAGGCTCTA